CTCCTCCGATGCTTATGCTTGGCGTTTGTGCACATCTGTATGTACTCCTGTCTGTATGTATATAATAAACACAAACTTCCTTTCCTATCCATCGGTCGGAAGAAGTAGGTAGAAACATGAAGTAGGAAGGCGTTGAAAGTAGATTGGGTTCCGTCCGCCCCCCAAAGAGGAGGGAAGAGGGGAAGCCACTCGATCAATGAAGTAGGAAGGCGCTTAAAGTAGATTGGAATCTGGGAATCAAAAAATACCTACTTCCAACGACCAATGGGTATATGTCTACCATCTGGGGGGGGGGGGGGGAAACCGTGGCCCCCTCCACCAGCTCCAAGACGCCCCCGCCTCTCCGCTCCCTGGCCCTGGGGATCCCTTCCTGACCTTCCAGGAGGGCAAAAAAATAGCACCCGACCTAAAAACCTGTCCCAGAGCTATTCTACGTCTTGGTTTTAGGCCGTTTCGCTCAGCTTTTTAGGTTTCTGGGTCTCCAGTGCTAAAACATAGCTCTCTGGAAGGTCAGGGTTGGACGCCCCTGCAGGAGGTCCCCGGGGGCTCTCTGGGACGCCCGGCCGCCCCTGCTGGGCCTCGCCCGCGGGCCCACGTCGGTCCCGAGGGGTCGGCCGAACGGCCCCGGGTGGCGGGAGGTCCGAGCGGCTCCGGGCACCCACCAGACGCCCGAAACCGACCCCTCCAGACGAGCGCGTTCCACGACTCGCAGAGTATAACTGCTCGCGAATGGCCTGGATACGCCGCGGGGGATCTGCGAGAAACTGCATCGAAGCCGACGTCTGTTTTCCCGGACGCTTGCGGGTAGGCACTTTGCGAGTAGTGGAGCGCGCTCGGTGGCCCAAAGAAGACCCAGGAGAGACCCAGAAACACAAAGAAAAATGCTTCCTGTTGCGTGAATTTTTCCATTGCTCGGTTCTTCGGTCCTCTGGCCGCCCGAGACCGCCCAGGAGGCTTGAAGAAAGCGGTCCCCAAACGATCCCCAAAAGGCTTCCAGGCACTGCAAGAGAGAGCCACCACGACGGCACCACACGGGCCCATCAAGGCCCGAGGAGAGCCCCACGACGGCCCAAGATGGCCCCAAGACGCTCCCCGAAACACTCAAATCTCGGGGCTGGCGAAAGGGGGGGATAGCATAGGGGGGGGTTGAGAATCAGCTCGCGTAGCTGATTTTCCGGGCGCCTCCAGGCGCCGGAGGCGGCTATGTATCGAGGAATGGGCCCCTCGGTGGGGCCGAAACCAGCTGCATGCAGCAAATTTCGTAACACCCCCTTTCCCAATCCCCGTAGGAGGCAACCTCCCAGGAGTTGCATCCGAACTCCCCGAACCACTCAAATCGTGACCCGGTCGGTCAGGGAGAGTGCGGTTGGGCGCGGGGTGGCCCAAGGAAGCCTTCAGAGGACCCCAGAATGCGCCCGGGATGCCTCCAGGAGGCCCTAAGAACCCGTCGAAAAATGCTGCGCAGACCCCAAGAAGCTATCCAAGGAGGAGCCTCCGCAAGACGAGCTGGGGAGAATGCAAAAAAAGGGTTCGCAGGGTAGGGCGATAATGGGACAGAGAACAAGGAAACATGAAGGAAGGAACAGGGAAACACAATTTCATGGCAACGACGCTGCGAAACAACAACAACAACAACAACAACAACAACAACAACAACAACAATCATTTTACCCGAACGCTCAGTGTTCTCACCAGTGCCAGGGTTTTCATGCGACGCGAGACAATACCCCCACTTCGTGGGGGGGCAGTTCAAGCTCTACCAAATATCCAAACGACTCTTCGCGACCACCCAAACCCAGCTTCCCGCCCTATGACGTTGGGACACTTCACTTCGTGGCGTGCGGACGACCGTGGCTACTACACTGGCGTGGGGTACACACCCACAGAACTTGGTCACTTATTCGGGGCGCGCGTGTGCCCAGCATCCTGCAATTGTGACATACAATACATGACACAGACAGACAGAGAGAGAGACAGAGAGCAGACAGAGAGAGAGACAGAGAGAGCGGAGTTGGTCACATTTTTGGGGCAAGTTCCTGAGATCGTCGTGTTTTTTGTTGGTCTTGCGCGCGCGAATGTCCACTTTACTTTTTTTTGCAAGGGAGTATTGAAATTTGATTATGTTAGAACAAGAAAAAGTAGCTCGCGCGAGCTCATGTAACATAAATGTTGAAAAACCATTGGTTTTGTGGGAGTCGGACAGCGCGCGCGGGATGAAATTTGGACATTTTTTTTTTGAAAAACCATTGGGTTTTTGATGTTTTTATGTTGAAATCGCTACGAAACCTAAGGTTCTGGAAGGATTTCGTCTTGCGCGCGCGAATGTCCACTTTACCTTATTTTTTGCAAGGGATTATTGAAATTTGATTATGTTAGAACAAGAAAAAGTAGCTCGCGCGAGCTCATGTAACATAAATGTTGAAAAACCATTGGTTTTGTGGGATTCGGACAGCGCGCGCGGAAGGACATTTTGACAATTTTTTCTTAAAAAACCATTGGGTTTTTGATGTTTTTATGTTAAAATCGCTACGAAACCTAAGGTTTTGGAAGGATTTCGTCTTGCGCGCACGAATGTCCACTTTACCTTATTTTTTGCAAGGGATTCTTGCAATTTGATCAAGTAAGAACAAGAATTTTCATTTTATAGTGTTTTTTGCAAGGGAAAACGGATTACAACAAAACAACCGGATCCGGTGGACAAATCCACTTTTCTGAAGCTTTCGCTAGAAAATGAAGGAAATGAGGCTGCGGCCTAGGTTTTGGAGGGGGGTCGCGCACCAGGGGTCTCAACAATAATATTTCTTTAGAAGTAATAATATTCAACAACAACAACAATCATTTTACCCGAACGCGTGGTGTTCTCCCCAGTGCCAGGGTTTTCATACGACACCAGGCAATACCCCCACTTCGTGGGGGGGCATTACAAGCTCTACCAAATATCCAAACGACTCTTCGCGACCACCCAAACCCAGCTTCCCGCCCTATGACGTTGGGACACTTCACTTCGTGGCGTGCGGACGACCGTGGCTACTACACTGGCGTGGGGTACACACCCACAGAACTTGGTCACTTATTCGGGGCGCGCATGTGCCCAGCATGGTGCAATTGTGCCATACAATACATAATACAGAGAGACAGAGAGAGAGAGACAGAGAGCAGACAGAGAGAGAGACATGAGGAGCGGAGTTGGTCACATTCGATGCGCGGTGGTAAAATTCTTAAGAACCCAATGGTTTTTGGAGATTTCGGCGTGCGCGCGCGAAGAAAAAACGAATGTGTCCCGCATGGTATTATTTGACAGGGATGATGGCCCTGGCAGGTGCGCAACCGTTGTCGCAGAAGTTCGAAAAAGTTGCTCGCAAAAGCCCGTTTGACAGAAATGTTTAAAAAGTGTTGGGTTTCCTACGAATCCGCAAGAGCGCGCGGGATGAGATTTTGACATTTTTTTGTTGAAAAACCATTGGTTTTTTGATGTTTTTATGTTAAAATCGCTCCGAACACTAAGCTTTTGGAAGGATTTCGTCTTGCGCGCGCGAATGTCCACTTTACCTTATTTTTTGCAAGGGATTCTTGAAATTTGATTACATTTGAACAAGAAATTTCATTTTATAGTGTTTTTTGCAAGGGAAAGCGGGGGGGAACAAAACAACCGGATCTTGATCACATCGAATTACCTGAGGCTTCCTCACGAAAATGATGAAAATGTAGCTGCGGCCTAGGCGCGGCGGGGGGGGCGTGCACCAGGGGGCCCAACAATAATTATTCTTTAGAATTAATAATGTTCAACAACAACAACAACAACAACAACAACAATCATTTTACCCGAACGCTCAGTGTTCTCCCCAGTGCCAGGGTTTTCATGCGACGCCAGCCAATACCCCCACTTCGTGGGGGGGCAATGCAAGCTCTACCAAACATCCACACGACTCTCGGGAACCACCCACACCCAGCTTCCCGCCCTATGACGTCAGGACACTTCACTTCGTGGCGCGCGGACGATCGTGGATACTACACTGGCGTGGAGTACACACCCGCAGAGGATGATCCAAGAACACAGGCGATACCTTGATCCGAGATGGCTACGGATATGAGCGTGAGAGGAAGGGGGGAAGCCTCCTGGGGCCGCTGGGGGTCCTCTTGGGGAAGGGGGGAAGCCTCCTGGCGCCGCATGGGGTCCTCTTGAGAGGCTTTGGGGGGCTTCTTGAAAGCATGTTGGGGCCTCTTGGGGGCTTATTGGATCCTCCCGGAGGACTCTTGGAGCCGCTTGGACGCCTCCTGGGGCCATCTTGGGGGCCTCTTGGAGCCAACTTGGAGCCTCTTTGGAACCTCTTGGGGGCCTCTTGGAGTCCTCTTGGGGCCTCTTGGGACCATCTTGGGCGCCTCTTGCGGCCTCATGGGCGCCTCTTGGGGCCATCTTGAGCGCCTCTTGGGGCCATCTTGGGTTTTAAAGATTCATGAAGAGCCCGCGGGTGGATTTTGATATTTTTCGGATGAGAAAGTCTTGCGTTTGCATATGTTTTCGGAACATCGCATCTTGAAATTATTGAAATCACATTATGTTTGGCAGGATTTCGGCACGCGCGCGCGGCGGCCGCGCGCATGTGCACTTCGTGTCATTTTTTGCAAGGGATGGTGGCCCTCGTAGGCTCGCAACCGTTGTTGCAGAAGGTCGAAGCACCTGAAAAGGTTCCTCGCAAAGGCCCTTTTAACAGAAATGTTTAAAATCTGGTGGGTTTCCTAGGAATCCGCAAGAGCGCGCGGAAGGACATTTTGACAATTTTTTCTGAGAAAACCATTGGGTTTTTGATGTTTTTATGTTAAAATCGCTACGAAACCTAAGGTTTTGGAAGGATTTCGTCTTGCGCGCACGAATGTCCACTTTACCTTATTTTTTGCAAGGGATTCTTGCAATTTGATCAAGTAAAAACAAGAATTTTCATTTTCTATTGTTTTTTGCAAGGGAAAACGAGCGTCAACAAAAAACCGGATCCGGAGCTCAT